ATGATGGGGGGGTCTCTGGGTTCCTGTCCTATGATGGGGGGTCTCTGGGGTCCTCTCCTAATAGATGTGTCTTCTTCCTCTCTCTGCAGATCGTTGCACCTTCAGCCGTCTGGTCCGGCACTACTAAAAGATGTCGCAGGAGAAGAGCTTCCTGGTCATGGGAGATCCATACTCCAATCCCCCGTACCCAGCAGGACAAGCTCCCCCTCCACCGCCAGTGTATGGGCACCCTCCTTACCCTAATACCACCCCCTATCCTACAACTGCCCCTTCCATGTACCCTGGTGAGGTCCCATACCCCAATGCTGTTCCCTACCCTACTCACCCACCCATGGGTCAACCTCCATACCCTCCAGCATACAACCAAGGGCCCTATCCCAGCCAGCCATACCAGCATCCTCCTTATGTGCAGGCCGGATACCCATCAGAGCAAAGTGGTGAGTAGAGGGCATAAGGCCTCCTTTCTGTCCTGTGTATTGTGTGGCCTCCTTTCTGTCCTGTGTATTGTGTGGCCTCCTTTCTCTCCTGTGTAGTGTGTGGCCTCCTTTCTCTCCTGTGTAGTGTGTGGCCTCCTTTCTGTCCTGTGTATTGTGTGGCCTCCTTTCTCTCCTGTGTAGTGTGTGGCCTCCTTTCTCTCCTGTGTAGTGTGTGGCCTCCTTTCTCTCCTGTGTAGTGTGTGGCCTCCTTTCTCTCCTGTGTAGTGTGTGGCCTCCTTTCTCTCCTGTGTAGTGTGTGGCCTCCTTTCTCTCCTGTGTAGTGTGTGGCCTCCTTTCTCTCCTGTGTAGTGTGTGGCCTCCTTTCTCTCCTGTGTAGTGTGTGGCCTCCTTTCTCTCCTGTGTAGTGTGTGGCCTCCTTTCTCTCCTGTGTAGTGTGTGGCCTCCTTTCTCTCCTGTGTAGTGTGTGGCCTCCTTTCTCTCCTGTGTAGTGTGTGGCCTCCTTTCTCTCCTGTGTAGTGTGTGGCCTCCTTTCTCTCCTGTGTAGTGTGTGGCCTCCTTTCTCTCCTGTGTAGTGTGTGGCCTCCTTTCTCTCCTGTGTAGTGTGTGGCCTCCTTTCTCTCCTGTGTAGTGTGTGGCCTCCTTTCTCTCCTGTGTAGTGTGTGGCCTCCTTTCTCTCCTGTGTAGTGTGTGGCCTCCTTTCTCTCCTGTGTAGTGTGTGGCCTCCTTTCTCTCCTGTGTAGTGTGTGGCCTCCTTTCTCTCCTGTGTAGTGTGTGGCCTCCTTTCTCTCCTGTGTAGTGTGTGGCCTCCTTTCTCTCCTGTGTA